AAAAATAAAGCCCATGTCAGAATTTCTCCACTCTAATAAATACAATGTGCTTATTTTTTCCAATCAAATTACTGCTTATCCTTGTCATATTTCCTGTTTTGTTGTATACATAGTCACAGATAAATAGTCAATCTCTGCCTAACAGAAATCATGCATGTATTTTAAAACTAGTACATATTAAACCACACTCATATCTCCCTTCTTTAGGATAAATACCTATGATTCCTGCAACACTTCATCACTTAATGTTATAGTTTATATTCTCTCAAATCTCTCATTTCCTACATTAAAATGATCTAAATGAGGTACTAGTGAATAACCAGTAATTTGTGAGTAAATACAGCACAGTATTAACACGGCCAAAAAAATGATCTCCTTTGAAAAGAAAGTGATGAATCAACTATACTGTCCTTTATGGACCAGAGAATAGAAACAGAAAAGGTCACCATGTAGGAAATTTCAAAAGTTGTTTCTCTAGCAATTTTTCACAAACCAAGAGACTCTAATCTTTATAACCATTGAACTTTTACAATTTCTCACGTCCAGTTAATAAACAGCTTTCCTCCCGCACCACTAAGAATTAACTGTAGTTATCTCCCCAGGATATGCAGGTGGCATTAAACTTCTTAGCTATCTTCTCAGTTCTACTAGAAGTTTTATGTTGTTAATTATGCAACTGTTGAAATTACTCTCTGACCCCTTAGTTCCTTGCAAGTGAAAGTATCATTTTTGTGAACTGGAAAAAGGGAAACAGAATTGAGAAAAAATTAAGGTGGAAAGTACAGAAAGAGAACTACCTTTTAAGTTTAACTGATGATTTCTTTTCCATAATGTAAGCAAAACATTTACCCTTTTTTTTTTTTGGTACCAGGGGTCAAACTCAGGCCCTTGCGCTTGTGAGGCAGGCACCAGAACCACTGAGCTAAATCCCTGGCCCAAAAACATTTACCTTTAAGGTCAATGAGAAGCATTATGTATCACAAAATAAAGACAAAACAATTTAGATCAAAATGTCAGGAAAAATAAAATAGAAATAATGAGAAGAGAGGATACAGAAGACTAGAGTTAAAAAATGGAGACAGACTGGAGGATAGACAAGGACAAAGGGGTTATAATTCAGGGAAAAAGAAATCTGTCCTCCAGCAAAAACAGCCGTCATGGATGAGAAATAGAATTTCATTTTTGTATTTGTTGTTTCTTGTATGCATTTATTTTATTTTTTGGTTTCTTGAGATAGGGTCTCACTATGTAGTCCACGCTAGCCTTGAACTCGCTACGTAGATCGTGCTGGCCTCCAACTCATAGCCATCTTCCTCTGTCTCAACCTCCCAAGTGCTGGGATTACAGGCGAGTGCCACCATGCCTCGCTATATTTCTTTTTAAAGAAAACAATAATGTAGCTGTTTGAAGTGAATTTCAAGAAATAGAAATGAATGGATTTCAGACCATCAACGTAGATGAGAGGGTACCAAAGCTGAAGGGCTTTTATGACACAGGCTTCTTACATGAAGAACTGAGTAGGAAAAAAAGCAATCATGTAAAAACCTCCATAATTCAACAATACACTTGAAGTTTATGCTGGTCTTTGCGCCTCTCTATCAATACAAGGAACAGGAAGGTATATCATGAAAATACAAGGAAGATTATGCTTATATGAATTACTTCTACTTCTTGGACCTACTGGGGTCAAGGTCATAGCCAGCAAAACCCTAAGGGGCTAAGATCCACCCGAGACCCAAGAACCATACCCAAAAATCTACTCCCACCCCACCTTGGCTCAATGGTTTTCTCTCACTATGGTGAGGGTGATTTTTGGAAAAGCTCCTCAAATGCCAGGAAACACTGTAATACAAAAAGAAAAAACAATTCATAACTACCAAAACTTAACTAATATTTTGGCCTCTCTCTTAAGGAAGATGGGTCTACTGAAAAAAACCATTAGCATACACACCAAGAAACCAAGATTTTTCACTTAGAATTCATTCTAAGACCTCCGCTGTAATTCCAAATGATCTAGGGTGTACTGAGAGAGAACCAAAAAACATACTCTTTTCCATTGTTACTAAACTAGTAGAACATAAACCAGAAGCTGCTAATAGCCATCCATCTGTCACTAACTAGGCTAAAAAGAAAGCCATCAGGTAAATTAGCAGAACGAAGAAATGGAAAGAGACATCTGTGATGATACAATATAAGAACCTAACTCCAGTTTCCATTGAAGTAACCCACACTTTAAACTAATCTATATTGGGTTCCGGCAACTGGCAAGTAAGCCTGGCTATTATAGGCGAGTTCTGCCAGGCTTGCTGGCAAATATCTGTAATCCCAGCACTCCAGAGGCTGAGGCAGCAGGATTGCTAGGAGTTCAAGGCCAGCCCAACTACACAGTTAAGACTATCTCAAGGGAAAGAGGGGGCCAGTGTTGAGGATGTAGCTCACAGTGAAGACCCTGGATTTAGTCCCTAGAACTGAAAATAATACTTGAGCTCTAATTCCACAACGAATCTGAGTAAGTCACTTCTTATCTTCTGGCCTTAATTTCTTTACTCTTATAAAATAACTGAGGCTTTCAAAGCACATTAAAAGTAATAGAATTTTGCTTTCTTTTAAAAAAATCTCACTGCAATATCAAAAATAAAAATGACTGTATTCAGATAAATATATTTTGTAAGATCAAATTCACATCTACTTCTGACCAAAATTCAATGAAAATAGCTTAAACTTCATTTTACAACCAAAAATAAAAGTGACTCTATTGCTATACGTGTATTTAAAATCAAGTGATATTCACTTGTGACCAAAATAGTTTTGAAACGTACAAAAGTTTAAAATTAGACACTAATGGGAAAAGCTGAAGTTCTAACTAGCCTCTTCAGATTCAATTCATTTCTGCATTTTGTTTTAGTTCATACCACTGATTCCATAAGAATCAGTTGCATAAGCATGATTCCAAAAGAATAACTGTGAAGAGTAACATGTTTTCCACAGCTGCACTACTTCATGATACTATTTCATTAAAGAGAAAAGCTTTAACTTCCCACTAAATCAGCCTAACAGCACAAGTTCTTAAAATGGGCCTCCAACTGGGAAAAATTTAGTAAACAATACAGTTAAGTATTCATGTGTATTAATTTTTCATTTCTATTATTTTTACCTTATTTAAAAATCAAAATGAAATTAGCTTTTATTGCTTGCTTGCTTGCTTTTTTCAGTACTGGGGATCAAACTCAAGTCCTTACACTTGGCCTTGATAGATTTCTAAACAAATATTTTTCAATCTGATTCAATGAAAAATTATAATGAAAGATATATAGAAAACTCTAATTCTCTTTAATAACAAGCCTGCATTAAAGGGAAAAAATTTTTTGCCATCAACTGCTATCACATCTATAGTCAAAATATATAAAATTTGGCCGGGGATTTAGCTCAAAGGTTCTGGCGCCTGCCTTGCAATCCTAAGGGCCTGGGTTCGATCCCCAGTACCAAAAAAAAATTAAAATTTGTAGTAACCTACCTACTCAGTCTTACTGATAACCACTTGATTGGGAAGATCACAGACAGTGCTACAAAACATTACACAGGAGTGTCTGCTTTAATATAGAAATAAATAACTTTCCATCTATAATCTAAGAAGTTAATAGTCTGGTGAAAGACACAATATATTCATACAACAAAGATAACTCAGTGCTACCAGCCACCATGCAAGCAACTAGGGATAGTGAATAAAGTATGTTATCCCTACAACCTCACATTTAGACTTTAACCCAAGAGCAATGAACCATGAAGGGTTGGGAAAGTGCAGACAGACACACTGTACAATTGCCATAGTTAACATTCTTAAAAGATTGACAATTACTATGTGAGATTAAATATAAACTGAAGGGACAAGTCCAAAAACAGAGAGACCAGTTAGGAACTACTCTAAAGAAGATAAGGTTACAAAGTAACAGATACAAAAAAGAGAATAACAAACTTAACTGAGGTATGGAGAAACAAAAAAGCTTCAGAGAACTAACGTTATAGTTCAATCTTGAAAGAAAAGGTCTACACCAAATACAAAAAAAGATGCAGTAAGACCATAGGAAACTTAAAGATGTTCCTCACAGTGAGTTAAGAAAATGAAAGATGATATTTTATAACAAAGTAAACATCTTCAGGAAAAATGAAAAGGCACTTCTAAGCAGGGTGCTTATGTGACCAGGCTTATATTTTAGAAATATTCTTCCAGGAACAATTAGCCTAAGGAAAAAGCCTAATCACCCAAACAAGAAGGTATCTTGCCAATAGGTAATCTGTCTGGAAAACTTAGTCTAGTAAATTTTGACAACCAAACATGGTACAACCAAATACTCTTCAGCTTTAGAAACCAAGACACTATGCCAACTTAAGGCCACACTATAATTGACATAGCTATTGAAACAAAAATGTCTCTGCAGGGCTGGGGATGTAGCTCAGTGGTTCTTCTTCCTTCCTTGCAAGTGCAAGGTCCTGAGTTTGATCCCCGGACCAAAAAAAAAAAAAAGTCTGCAGATAAGATGCTAAAACTGATGGTGGCAGGAGATAAATGGAGTAAGGAAGAAAACATAGCAACTAAGAAAACAATATTAACAGAAAAACAATTTTATTTCAAAGTTAGAACACTCCTTTTGTAAATTACACACAGATCCATCCATTATAGGTAATAATTAATAGACTGTGTTTCCTGACAAGCAATTGAAACACTTTAATGTACAACACTCAAGAAAGCAATCAAAAACTGGATTGGAAAGAGCAAATAACAAATAACTAGCTCTAGCTAGATTCTCATTTCTTAAAAGGAAAGCTCTTCCCAACTAGTTAGTCTTTGAAGCATATCAACTAAAAGAGAATTAGAATAGGGTAGGGGAGGACTTGGTATTTCATAAAAGTTCCTGATCGTCAACTAGACAAGTTCTTGACTCAAACATGAGAAGAGAATATAGAAAAATCCAACTGCTTTGTTTCAAGAAAACAAATCCTACCTTTCCAGGATCATCCTTAGACCGAGGCACTTTAAGGAAACATTTGTTGAGTGACAGATTATGTCGTATGGAATTCTGAAATGAAAGGAGAAAAGCCATTGGGTCAGTGGGATCCAAAACACCCATCTTTTAAAACAGAACCAAAACTTAAAATATTTCTACACGTTGTAATATAATTAGAAATGGAATAAGCTTTTTAAAACTAAGCTTCAGGGCCGGAGTGTGGCTCAGTGGTGCTACGGCCTGCCTCACAAGCACAAGGGCCCAAGTTCGATCCCCTGTACCAAAACAAAACAAAACAAAAAAGAACAAACAGCCAACATCATATTAAATGGCCAAAAACTGAAAACCTTCACGTTTAAGTCAGGAACAAGACAAGGATGCCCACTATCACCATTCCTCTTCGATATAGTTCTAGAAACATTAGCCATAGCAATTAGACAAGAGAAAGGAATTAAAGCAATAAAGATAGGAAAGGAAGAAGTTAAACTGTCATTATTTGCTGATGATATGATACACTACATTGAAGACCCAAAAAACTCCACCAAAAGACTTCTAGACTTAATTGACACTTTTGGCAGAGTAGCTGGATACAAGGTCAACACCCCAAAATCAATAGCCTTCTTGTACACAAATAACAGACTCACTGAGAAAGAAATTAGGGAAACAATTCCTTTCACAATAGTACCCAAAAAAATGAAGTATCTGGGAATCAACCTAACAAAAGAAGCAAAAGACCTCTACACTGAAAACTACAGCACTCTGAAAAAAGAGATCGAGGAGGATCTAAGAAAATGGAAAGATGTCCCCTGCTCCTGGGTAGGAAGAATCAACATAGTGAAAATGGCCATACTATCAAAACTGCTATACTGATTCAATGCAATACCAAATGAAATCCCAACACTATACTTCACAGAACTGGAAAGAAGAATCCAAAAATTCATTTGGAACCATAAGAGACCTAGAATAGCAAAAGCCATACTAGGCAACAGATACATGGCAGCAGGTATAACAATTCCCAATTTGAAACTATACTACAAAGCCACTGTGATAAAAACAGCATGGTACTGGCAAAGAAGCAGACCTGAGGATCAGTGGAACAGATTGAAAGACACAAAAACAACTCCAGATGCACTCAGCTACCTCATCTTTGACAAAGGAGCTGCCAGTCCCCACTGGAGGAAAGATAGCCTCTTTAATAAATGGTCTTGGAAAAACTGGATCTCAACCTGCAAAAGATTAAAACTAGACCCTTATCTGTCACCATGCACTAAATTAAAATCCAAGTGGATTAAAGATCTAAACATAAAAACAAAAACACTAAACTTGCTGGAAAATAAGTTAGGCAGAACTTTGGAAGACACTAGCATAGGAAAAGACTTTATGAACAAATCCTCAGTAGCACGGGAACTAGCAGAAAGAATCAATACCTAGGATTGCATCTCATTAAAAAGCTTCTGCACTGCAAAAGAAACCATCAACAGAACTAAGAGACAACCTACAATGTGGGAAAACTTTTTACCAGCTGTTCCTCAGACAAAGGACTATTATCTAAAATATATAAAGAACTCAAAACAACCAGCCCCCCGAAATATAAAGACCCAATTCTAAAGTGGGCATCTGAAATGAACAGACATTTCTCAGACAAAGAAATAAAAGCAGCAAGTAAATATATGAAAAAATGCTCCATATCACCGGTCATTCGAGAGATGCAGACGAAAACAACACTGAGATTTCACCTCACCCCACAAAGAATGGCTGCTATCAAAAAATCACACAATAACAAATGTTGGCGCGATTGTGGGGAGAAAGGAACCCTTCTCCATTGTTGGTGGGAGTGCAGACTGGAGCAACCACTATGGAAGTCAATATGGAGATACCTCAAAGAACTAGGATTAGAGGTTCCATTTGACCCAGCCATCCCTCTGTTGGGTATCTTTCCAAAAGAAGTGAAAGAATCATACCACAGTGATATATGCACACCCCTGTTTATAGTGGCACAGTTTGTAATAGCTAAAATTTGGAAACAGCCCATCTGCCCATCAATTGGAAACTGGATAAAGAAGATGTGGTTTTTCTATAGAATGGAATACTACTCAGCCATAAAGAATGAGAAAGTAGATTCATTCATAGTTAAATGAGTACATTTTGAGGATACATTTCTAAGTGAAATAAATAAGGCACACATATGCAAATACCGAATAGTATCTCTGGTGTGAAAAACTAAAACAGTACTCAAGGTCTTATTAGCAAATAGGAAGAAAAGGACCAAAGGTGTAGGGACAGTGAGATGGATAGGGAAGGAGGAATAAGGGAAAAGGAAAAAAAATACGAGAAAATGTAAAAATGGAATTAAAGTGTTTGGGGGGGGTGAAGGGAGGGTGGGGACAAGGGGAAAAATGAGAACCAAGACCTGGCATGTAAAGGTACAAGATCCCAGTAATGAATGTAACTGTACTGTCTACCTAGAATGTACCAAGAAATTAAATTAAAAAAAACAACAACAACAAAAATAAGCTTCAAATTTAAACTTTTCTGATTTCAAATTACAAATACTGCAAAGGTAAGTAGATAATTTCTAGTGGATTCTATAATAATGTAATGTATGCAGCATTTTAAATATTTAAGACCATTTAGTAAGACAGAGATGCCTATGATGCAATGTTAAATATTAAGTACTAAATACAAAATTATATACATACCATGGCTTTAACTGTAACTTTAAATTTATTTATTCTTGGAAACAAATCAGAATGCAATATGTTAGAATTTATTTTGTGTGGGATTTTAGGTGATAACTAGTCTCTCTTTCTTTTCTTTCTCTTTTGGGTTTTTGTTTTTTTTTTTTTTTTTTGAGACAGGGTCTCACTGTGTAGTTGAATAAATGCCCTGGAACTCACTATGTAGCCCAGGCTGGTCTCAAACTCACAGCAATCCTCCTGCCTGGAATGCTGGGATTACAGGCATGCACCATCACACTAGGCAAATTTTTTGTTTTGTTTTTGGTTAAGTCTTTTTTAAATGTTAAGAGCTGAGGTACAACTCAATGGACCAGCATCCATCTAGCATGCAAAAGACCCTGGGTTGACCTCCAGCACCACATACAAAAGAAAAGGCCAAATAGGTTCCTATTACATTTGTAAGAAAATACACAGGAGTTGGGGGAGGCAGATAAGACACTGGCAAGAGAGGACTAGAAAGACCTCTAGTATCCTAATTGTAGTACAGAAGAGTAAACAACTTGGGTGGTAGGAAAATATCTTTGGAACCCTGAAGAGTCTATGAAATAGAAAATTTATTCATGAAAAAGTGGGATTTCAATTCTTACAAAAAATATCAAAGTCCTTTCCTTCTCAATTAAATGTTCCAAAATTTATTCCCCAATAGTTCTGTTTGTTTCCAAAGAGACAGGGATTTGGTGAAGAGGGGATCCAAATGGATTTTGTCAATGTTTACAATGGCACCTTTTGGGGTCATTTTATTTTTTAATATAAAATGTGAAAGTCTAAGAATACCTGTAATAAAACTTCCCTCTCACAAGGGCAATACTGGGATTTAAAAACTTTGAAAAGGTATACACAGAATATAAATACAGGCCTATCTTATTACAAAAGTAGAAATTTTAAACTTTAAATGGGAATTCTACCCCTACTTGGAATATATGCAACTATAAAAGATAAAGTTCCTTCTTCTAACAATAGGAAAACACCGAGTAAGCTTTAAAAAAAAAAAAAAAAAAAAAGAGT